CTCCGTCTCTCTCTGTCTCTCTCTGTCTCTCTCTGTCTCTCTCTCTGTCTCTCTGTCTCTCTCTGTCTCTCTCTGTCTCTCTCTGTCTCTCTCTGTCTCTCTCTCTGTCTCTCTCTCTCTGTCGGCTTTGCCAGAACCGTTGCTTGTTGGCCGACTGCCGTTCAGTATAGCTCGAGGCTTCCTTGAGGCACGACTGCCCGGTCTGTTTCTGCAATGCACAACGTAGATCGGCTTGTGGGTTCGAGCTGAGCCGAAGCTTCCACGTGCTTAGGCATCGCTCATGCGAACTGTTCTCGGTCCGCAGAAAACAACGGTGGCTCACATCAGCATGCTGCAGGATCCATGCCGCAAAAAAGATCAGTGTGTTTCGCATCGTGTCACATGAGTTGCAGTCCAGGAGCTGCTAACAGCGGCAAAGGCAGAAAGTGCAAACGAAGAGCTCGTTCTACAAGCTTCCAAGTTGGAGCCTCAGAGCAGCCTGGAGGGGATTCGGCGGCTCGATACAAGCTGTGTTGTGCCCTGAACATGCCGAGGCTGATAGCACGACTCAGAAGTGAAAGTGAAGTGCAGCAGCGGATATCGGCAACGGCTCCATAGCCACATTCGACCATGTCTCTGCTGATTTCCAGACGTGTTTCGTGCACCAAGGCAGTCCTGTGCGAAGTTGACTGCTTCAAGGAAGCCGAAGGGAGGGTAGCTGACCCAGCTGACCATTGCGCAGTCGCAGCGGACATGAGACTTCAGCACTCGAGGAAGAGATGCCGGACTGGTCTCGTGACACCGAGAGGTTCGAAGAGTTTCACGAGGTCCCGCTCGAGGCTTCTCGTGATCCCTTGGACTGGACCCCGAACTTGAAACTCAGGACTTCAAACGCGTCATGGAGGACGCGGAGCGTGATCAGGTCACATTGCAGATCTACTTTTTGCAATTGGCTTCTCAGGGTTCTGTGAGAACATTAGGACTACTGGATACTACTGGTGACATGCTGTGTCTGCTTGCCTTAGGTTGCAGCAGTCGAAATTCAGCAAACCGGAACGTTGTTCACACTACACGACATTGCCTTTGAAAGCCGGTTCAGGTGGCCTGGCCGATAGGAGACACGACGGTGCGGGATTCTGTGCCAAGTGACCAGCCGAAGCAAAGGACCGTCGCGCGAAGCGAAACCACGTTTTGGCATCGTTTTTGGTCCGGCCGTTTTTTTGACTCGCCCACATCTCGCGAGGCGTGCAAACACGAAGCATGCAAGCATCAGGGGTTCCAGGGGCCGAGGCAGTTGACCCCCTGGCTTTGTACTAGCCGCAGGGGCTAGACGAAGGCTCCGTGCTTCGGACTATCCACACTCCGCTACGCCTCTCGCACATCTTGCGCCCATGCTCGACTCACGAAGGTGTCACTCTCCAGTGACACTGGCTTATGCCTCACCGCTGTTAGCTCACCTAGAGCCTTGGAGAATGCCTTGATGCATCGAGAGCCCAGTGCACAAAACGCAGGTATACACACTTCGCAAAAATAGTTTCGATCTAGAGAGAATCGCTGTGCCGAGAATGCCATATGAGCTGCTTTCCCGAAATCCAACAAGCTTGTGCCCAACGACATGGTCAGATCCGTGTGTTAGGGTTCCGATTGGCACAAAACTCTTGTGCCAGCATCCATTTGGACAGCCTTATTGAATCTTCCTTGGACAATTGCGGTCGTTTCGATATTCTTGCCTCAGACCCCAGCCCCTAAAGACTCAGGATATCTCAGGATCCGATCCTTAGTTTTAGAAACATCAAGGTGTTAGCCATCATCAAGGCATCACGTCTCGAAGCTCACAGTTTCGGGAGACGGTATTGTAGAGCGGGGTAGGGTAGGGGGCCGGGTAGGGGTATGGGAGTAAGAGCCGGAGGGCTAGGGGGTAGGGTGTAGGGGGCAGGGGCACCGGCCACGGTCGGGCAGGAGGTACGTACATCCAGTGAGACGTTTATCTTTCTTAAATGATGAATTTGTTGTATCTGGAGGGGAAGATTCGAATATATTCATATGGAAATTGAAATAGTCAATTATAGATATTAGTTGTTAATGATGTGTAGGTTTGTATGTATCTATGTATTTCTTCCGCATTGATGAATAAACGAATAATTTTTCTATCTGGGAGATATTTTCGTGAATTTTCATCGAGATAATTTGAGATAACTTTCAATTTCATCATTTCCAGTTTCATTTGTTATTTTCCTGAAACAATTTTCTCATTCCATCTTGAATTATCTTTTTTCATCATTTCCTTTTTATCTTGTCTGGGGAGGAAAGCTGAGGAGGGGGAGGTGGGAGCTAGGGGAGGGGTGCCGGAGAGCTAGAGGGGGGCAGCTGGGAGCTCACAAAAAGGATTGGGTGTGGCAGAAAGAGCTCGAGGGCTGAGGGAGGGGGTAGCGGAGTAGTGCAGGGGCACAGGCGCGGACCTTTTTCGCGAACCAAACACGCATGTTTTGGGAGGAAGGCTAAGCGGGGATAGGGGGGTAAGTGTTGGAGGGGTAGAGGCGGGTGGAGGTAAGGCTGGGGGTTGGGGACGGAGTCAGGGTCGGGCAGGGGTAGGGAGGAAAGCCGGAAGGCTAGAGAGGGCGGGGGAGGTCTAAAAAGAAACTAGGTTTTGTTTAGGGGGTGAAACGAGGTACCGGGTGTGTCGAGAGCTTCGGTGCTTGAAATACCACTACTCTTAGTGTCATTTTACTTATTCCGTGAGACT